TACCAAAACAAAAAATTATGATGGAACCAAAACGTTGCGTTTTCAAAAATTTATACAAACGTATGTTGACGTTTGTTTTGAAATCCTGTGAACTTCTGGTAGAGAACTTGGTGAAGATAAATTCTAATCTTATCGGTAACACGGGTAGCCAAGAATGTAAAGTATGATCGAGACCGTACTGTACTACAGGAAGACTTCGGGAAAATAGTTTCGACTTACTGAGATCGCACCCAAACAGCAGCATAGCGGCACTCATCGCCCCGGCGGAGGCTCCTCCCAACTTCAGCAGCTGGAGATTGGGCGCGTGCTGCATGATGCAGGACGCCACCCCAACATGGTACATCCCCAGAAAACCACATCCTGAGAAGGAAATGTTCATCTTGTCGGCTCGGGAAGAGAAGCCCGAGAGAACCGACCAAGACAGCCACAAAACTGAGACAAACTGGGTCACGTAGTAGCCTTCGCCATTTTTGTTGCCATCGTTCACGTGACGCGTTAGGTGAAATACAGTCTATTCCATTCTGAATGTAGGTCAACCCCTACCGTATCAACATGTTTTCAATAACAATACTCCAAAAAATTGTACATAAAAGATAGTTAAGTATCAAATAATTAGGTTATTGATGGTAAACGATGAAACACAATCGACATATATGTATAATATTTGGTATAAAGAAACTTTCAGGTGTTCACCTACATATGGTCGAAGTGGTATGACCCAAATCATTCGACAACACCTTCTCTCTGATTGGTCACACCCAGTCACAGGCCCCCAACATCGACTGCCTGATTGGTTAATTTATTTGTCTATCTGGGGTGTGATCTTGAATAAATTTACATAATTTATGCACCAAAACTTTTTTTGTAAACAACAACAAATCTGTCAGACCTGGGAACGAGACAGACGGAACGAGATTACCAACATGGCCGCGTGCTGAGCCCCCCTCCCACATGTCACAGTCTTTGTGCAGGCAAATGTTAAACCTGTGGTAATTCTTGCACAAAAATCGGTGCTGCAAAACTCGGAAAATGTCTAGTGAAGGTGAATATTGGATTTGATATTGTGATTAATGAGAAAGAGAGCTTTTCTGGAAGAAAAAAAAAGATGCATATGCATGGATCAAAATGTTGCATGTTGATATTAACATGTTGTTAGTACAGTAACTGTTGTACTTCACAAGAACGGTGCTTTATGTGTTTGTGTGTTGTTTCCTTGGTATCATCAACAGGGTACACAGTTTGTTCAGCAAATTATATAGGTCATATAGAAATCATATTTCCACGATCATCTTATGAGTAATATTTAGCTAATCAACAAATAATTGAATTGTAGTTACCTAATTAATATCTTTTCATACTTTTTTTACCTCTCCAAGCATTGAGAGTCGATAACATTTGATAAGCTGCATGTTCATTGGTTCAATTAACATGTTAGAACAGTGAGCAATTGCCATAACATTAGAGCTAGCGAGTGATAGGCATAAAGCAGGTGGTGATTAGGTGATTTGCCTACAGTATACTGGAGTAGAGTACACGTATGTAGTAGATGCTTTTGGCCAGGTAACTTAGGAGATGTAGTTCCAGTTTAGGCCGCTTTTTTTCTTTCAGTGCGTTGACATCTCAGGCTTCTGGGGATGATCTAGAGCTCTGTCTAGTCATACATCAGCTTCTTTTGTTTCATGTGCTTGTCCAGACTCTCCTACCAGCCAATAATTTACATTTGCCTTAACAATAATTTGCATATGTTTACTATTAACAATTGATGTAAACAAAAACAGCGATCGTTGGTATTGACCTCCCCACCTGCCTGGTGCCCTCTGCAGAGAACTCTCTCTCCCCGCTGAGGATCCCGTCCAGAAACCCATCGCCGCCCCCTGCGGAGATGCTGGGAGAGGGCGTGGATCTCCATGCCGACAACATCGGAGACACGGCCTACAGCAAACACTGGTTCTTCACTACGTTAATGAACCTCATTCAGGTCAGGACTGTTGAATGTAGATGTTGATGTTGATGTGTAAGGATACATGCTTATGGGTTTTAATATCACAAATACTGCTACAGTATATATATGTTTATGGATTTGTTAGGAATTCAATCATGTAGCCTGTAGCCATGTACATTTGTAATCTTGACTTTTGAGTTGTTATATTTGACTCTGACCTCTTCAAATTCCCTCATGACCTCAATGACATCTCATGAATCATAAATTACATTTTTCTTTGTTCCTTTAATGTTTTAATAAAACATAAAAGGACCAAACAAAGAAAAATGTTTAGCCTGGCCACCATACTTGTTAATTTTCAACTCTCTCCCCTTGAAGATGAACTACAAGGAGAGGTAACATCTATTGAATGTTCCAACTGCTAAGGCAAATCATAGCCTGGGTATCATCAGGATTTTCACTCCGCAATGCTAAAAAAATCATGACCGGAGTTGCAGAGCGAAAATCCAGATGGTACCCAGGCTAGACAAATCAAACTCTGCCAAGTAAAATGTTTAAATAATGCTAATCAAACAATTTTACCCTTTTAATCCTTTTATAGGAAGTAGAGAAGAAAGACCAGACTGAAGTGAAGAAAGAGGAAGAAGCAGGGGCTGCTGGGATTGATATTGATGAAGAGTTGGAAGATGAGCTATGCAAACTGTGGGACATGTCCATTAACAAAGTAGGGGCCAGATTTTTATTGAATGGTTCAAAGTTGTTGTTTTTTCCTAATCTAGGTGTTACACATGGCAAATGTCAAAAGTATGTGTACATGTACCTATACATGTCTTCACTGCAAGTTTCGTATGAAAGGTTTTTGGTGAGATCCTGAAATAGTGCTACTAAAGCCTATGTTTTCCTTATTTCAATTCACAGGATGTTGCACGATTCCTACAAGAGTTCCATGCAGTAAACATCCTGATGGGAGTCATCAACAAGTCTCGAGCTCCCAGGGTCACTGTGAGTACATCTACATCACATTCATCTGGGGAATTTACTATTGACTAGGGGAGTAAAAAACTGCAAGCAAATCTATGTAAATCTTGCTGTTTTGCTAACTATAGAGAAATATGCATTATGTAATGAAAGTATACCAATTGTGCATGTTTTTTTTTGTAGTTTTAAACGTTACAAGTTGAGCATTACCATTTTATACAGTTTTGAACTTCTAGGTAATGAATATCCATCTCTGAAAGAAAAAAAAAAACTAGCTGAATACTATAGTACATCATCTTCAATGACAGTTTTTTTGTGTATTCATTTCCAAGGAAATCTGTGTAGGGATCCTGGGCAACATGGCATGCTGTGATGAAATCTGTCAGGAGATCAGTAACAATGAAAAACTGGTGTGAGTATAACTCATGTTGTGAAAGAATCACGGTGGAATGATGTCATGTGAATTAATAATAGAATCCAACAAGGTAAAATACCTAATATCTAAGACCTAAAAAAATTGTCTCAGCTAGCGACAATCCTTTATCATGTTGTACATACATGTATATGTGTAGTTACAGTGATGTTCATTTAAATGACAATATTTCTTATCTACTCTATCCAGAGATGTTATTCTAGTTCTGCTGGAGGACCCAGATGCACCCACACTTGTAGAAGCAATAAGGTTGGCTTTATATTTTTAATTTTATCAAGTTGCACTGTTCTCAACTATAAAACTTAATATGCACATTTACACGTACACTGCTTTATTGGTAATGTATGTTGTAATGTTAAAGGTGTACTTTTGAGTGTTTTTTCTCTAACAATGTATGGTGATTCTTTTGTACTAAAACATACCTCTGCATCACTCCAGGTTAATCCACACCTGTGTTTCCAACAAAGACGTCAGAACAAACTGGCTGAGTCCCATGAAGAAGGGTAGTGCAGTCTACAGTGCCATTCTCTTTATGTTACAGAGTTCTACCAATGGTAAGGTCTTCTTTGCAAATGTTCCTTTCATTTAGAAGCATCAGATATATGCCATTTTAATGAATTGCCAGATATGAAATGCCTTCTATTAGTGGTGCATACCGGTTCACTGGACTTGGATCCAGACTTGTAAGAATGTTTAGGTTCAAGTCCAAAAAAACCTAAAAGTCAAGAACCGAGTCCGGACTTATTACCATAAAAGACCATTTCACATACCCCTTTTCTTTTTAAACCACCTAAAACCTTCCGTAGATTGCAAAATCTTTGCTGCAAAATGAAGAAAACATTGCCATCGGGCATCGTCAAGTACCAGCCTCCATGTTATGTGGCCAAAGTTTCACCCAGACAACATTGTAAGGTTGCCAACAAGCAATTTTGTATATGCCATGGGTTTAGGTCTGGACTTAAGTCCGGACCTGAACCTAAACCTCTGGACTTGAATCCGGACCTGAACCTGAAATTGGGTTTAGGTATGCATCACTACCTTCTATCGATCTGATTGAAAAGATCCTTGGTTTGGCAATAGAAACTAAATGCATTGACCAGTTTTGCAGTCATTCAAATTCTCTTTATGTTCACGGTAGCAGAAGTTTTTTAGTCTGACTCTGAGAAAATGGACATGTTCACAGAACTATATGTTTGTGTGGCGGCAGGTGCAGCAAAAAGAAAGTTGGCGAATTTTTGTTCCCGGTAATGATTAGTTCGTGCTACTGAAGTGACCATGAAAACCGCAAATATAAAAGTACCACGAAATATAAAGTCATTTACCGTTCATTCTAGAACCATTATATTACTTTTTGTAAGATATATTTCATTACTGATTACTAGGGTACATTTTTGTGTTGATACAATTGACCATATTATTGATGTGTCTGAGTTGTGTTGTTGATTCCAGTTGACTTGTTACATAACCTGAGCTCCCTGCTGGACCTGTTACTGGATGTGGATGAAGAGTTGCTGGTTGCCTGGGCGACGCCTGAGTTTGTACAGGGGTTACACGAGGCCATCAAACAGGCAGGGTGGGCACTTCTCTTCTGATGTGTAGTCTTGGGCTATAGGCTGATGACTAGATATACAGTCAAACCTGTTCAAGCCAGCCACCCAGGGGACCAAAGAAAAGTGGTCACATTGGACAGGTGGTCTCCTTGAAGAGGGTCGCCATACAACATGACTGAATAAATGACATAAATGGTTTTTAAGTCGAGATGTTTTAATGTCAAATGCTGTAGGCATGCTGTAAGCATCTTCAGTTCTGTGGTGAATGCATGTGGGGAGGGTGGCACATGGAACAATTTAGGTCAAACAAAAACATCATCCAGCAGCCGGGTAAACTGGCTAGTTTCTCCATGATTTCTCATTAGTTATCATCAATAATCAACATGATCGAAAATGATGTGATCACCATGGGTAGGTATTGGGCTTTCAACAGAACCAACTCAGGGCAGTCGCGGTCACATTGGCCAGGTGGTCACCTTGGACAGGTTGCTTAATGTCAATGGGGAAAATATGGGGGACCAAAAAAAACGGTCACCATGGCCAGGTAGTCAGCTTGAAGAGGTGGTCACCTTGGCAGGTTTGACTGTACATGTAGTGTGGGTTTAAGATAAAATATAAGCAGCAGTTCTGTTTTAGAAAAGAAAATCGTGTCTGTTTCCTGAAAGCTACCTACTTCTTGTCCCTAGACTGTGATTTTATTGTTTGACACAATGAAGTATGCATGTGTAACTACATGTATTATTACAATGTAGCATAGCGTCTAATTTGGGTGTTGAACTTATTAGTCATGGTCAAAACTACCTGAAAAATGCACAGGTCTTACATGATGTTGTATCATCTTTAATTTCTATGCTACAGTGAAGAGAAGGAGCTGACTGTAGATTCATACCTACACTGTCTACAACTGCTGTCAACTACAGAAAACGGAGTGCAGGCTTTAGGTGGGTGAATTTGAAGCTTGCCACTACTACTAGTAGGCTAGTGAGGACACCTAGCAAAATGAGTTGGAACTGCAAGCAGCTTTTTTTTTACATCAGTAACACTAACAGTGTTGCAGTTATCAGCTTTATTACATTGTATATGAGACGAGAACATACCTTTATGAGTAGTTACAGAAAATAAATGCCACAAAGAAAGATAATTAAATATCAAAGTGAAATTTTGTATGTATACATGTTTATCTAACTTTCTAAATTGTTTATGTCCAGTTGAATGTACAGGTGTGCTGTTCCCTTTGCAGACAGTGACCTATGTTTATGTCCAGTTGAATATACAGGTGTGCTGTTTTCCCATGCTGACAATGATCTATGTTTATATCCAGTTGAATGAACAGGTGTGCTGTCCCCTTGCAGACAGTGACCTATGTTTATATGCAGTTGAATGTACAGGCATGCTGTTCCTCCTGCTGAGTGTGAGCTATGTTTATGTTCAGTTGAATGTACAGGTGTGCTGTTTCCCCACGCTGACAGTGAGCTGTGTTTATATCCAGTTGAATGTACAGGTGTGCTGTTCCCCTGTGCTGACAGTGAGCTATGTTTATGGCCAGTTGGATGTACAGGTGTGCTGTTCCCCCTACTGACAGTGATTTATGTTTATGTCCAGTTGAATGTACAGATGTGCTGTTCCCCCTGTTGATAGTGAGCTGTGTTTGTGTCCAGTTGAATGTACAGGTGTGCTGTTCCCCCTGTGCTGACAGTGAGCTGTGTTTATGTCCAGTTGAATGTACAGGTGTGCTGTTCCCCCTGTACTGACAGAGGTCTGTGTTTATGTCCAGTTGAATGTACAGGTGTGCTGTTCCCCCTGTGCTGACAGTGAGCTGTGTTTATGTCCAGTTGAATGTACAGGTGTGCTGTTCTCTCATGCTGATAGTGAGCTATATGTTTGTGTCTAGTTGAATGTACATGTACAGGTGTGCTGTTCCCCAGTTGAATGTACAGGTGTGCTATTCCCCCTGTGCTGACAGTGAGCTGTGTTTGTGTTACAGTTGAATCTACAGGTGTGCTGTCCACCCTTGCTGACAGCGAGCTGTGTTTGTGTCCAGTTGAATGTACAGGTGTGCTGTTCCCCCTGTACTGACAGAGGTCTGTGTTTATGTTCAGTTGAATGTACAGGTGTGCTGTTCCCCCTGCTGACAGCTCACATATCCCGGGTGTGCAGTGAGGATGTCATTGCGGTAGGAGGGAGGGAGAGAAGTCTGGCCTCCGCCATGTCTGTACTCAACGTGCTGTTTTCTTCAGCTGGGGAGGAGGGACTAGTTCTACTGGAGAAAAGTGAGCTCATTTTTTTCCTAAAATGAAAAATGTAAAGACAGTCCCATTGCCTCTTTGAGGCCATAGGGCCAGTGGGGTGTCTAGGACATTGTATTGTCCAATTTTAACCTGTGTAGAGTGACAAAAGTCATGTAAACAGTAAAGTGCCTTTCCCAACCCTAATTTAGGGTTTCTTGGTACTGGGGGCAACCCTAATTTAGGTATTTTTGGTAACCCTAGTTTAGGGTTTCTTGGTAACCCTAATTTAGGTTTTTTTGATGTTTTCTTCTAACAGTGATCTTTTTTGTTCTTTCAGACTCCAGTTGTGTTGAGTGTGTCATGCAGCTGTTTGAGGTCATCCAGGAAGACCGCAGGACCAGTATGACCCTCGCTGCAGCGGGAGCAAGTTGTAAATCCACTCCAGTTTCCACTCCACGTTCCACCAGGCACAGAACTGAAGACAAAACTGAACCTGATGTGAACAGGACAGGCACCAGAACTTGTGCAGAGGGCAGCCCTAGAACAGACTCCAGTCAGTCCCAGGATGTAGAGGCTAGCAGTTCAGAGGATCATGGCAAATCCCAAGATCCTTTGCCAGTTGTGAGGAACTTGATGGAAGTACATATGCTGTACAGTGTGACGGTCGAATTCTTGGCAGACATAGTCAAGGCACTGCCAAAGGTAAGATTGTTTTTAACCAAGTCATGAATTCAGAATCAAGCTCGTAAGATGTTAAAAAATGGCTGTGGCCAAAAGCCGCGAACAAAGAAAAAGGATACAGCTCAGCATTCTTACATCTGTAGCACAACAGAAGGTTCCTAGATGTAAGAGACGCACCTCTGCAGCAGCAAAATTGTCAAGTCCAGTCTTCTATTCTAAAACACAATTCAAATGACTAGGTACAAAGTGTGTACAAGTATTACAGAAAGGTTAGATGACCAAAATATACAGATACATGTCATGTAAAAGTGCTTGACTTGACTACTAGTACTAGTAATAGTTAACATTCTTAACTTTTACAGGGTGAGAGCCAAGTTGCTGGATATCTGAATGGCTGTACAAGAGACCAGATAGAAAGTATGGTACTGGCACTGCAGGATCACACTGATGACACACTGGTAAGGTTGTCATTTATATCAACTGTTATACAATCAGTTTTTTTTTCAAATATTGAATGCCTAAAATGCATCAAATAGGCAAGAGAAACTACGTAACTTCAGATCCTATTTCAAGTAAGTGTTGTTTTGAGTATTAAGTGTGTTGTAATGTCAGAGAATATATTTTAATGATGCGTAAATGTAATACTGTCAGTTAATACTGTTTATTTCTACTTCTTCTTTATGCAGATTCCTCATCTAGAAGAAGTTTTGTCTGGCTCGGAGGACAAGTTCCCACGTTTGGCAGCTGCAATAGGAATGGATGCAAGTTAGACCTCTTAACATCACAAACTGTCTGCATGGCCATGGGTTTGCTGATTGGTATCTTTGTGCCATCAAATGAACAGTTTCCCTGTGATTGTAGCCTAGTTTTGTTATCTGTACTAACGTAAATTCCACTATGAGGGGCATTCAGTAAGTTCTCGGCCTCAACAAGAAATACAGGGCACGAAAGCACGCAGCCTGCAAAGTCAAGATCACAATACATTGTAGTTTGAGTTTTGGTAAACATTCACAGTAGGCTCAAGCTTCATCCTTGAACAAGTATGCCCTGAAATGTGAGTTGTGCCCTTTGTTTTTTTGGTAAGGCTGAGAACTTATTGGATGCTCCCAGTATGTGATAATTATGCAGTGTTTAGATATTTTTGTAGTAGTAGTTAGATTTATACATGTATTTCATGATCGTTTAACATTTCAGTACTGATTTAACCTAAGCATTGCTTCTCAAGTTCAATTAAGGTCATGGCAATCATTGTATGACTATGTATTTCAAACATTCCAGCCATGAAAAAAGCATGTAAAGATCTTTGTAATTTTGTGTCCCTCTAAAAAAACTCACGAATAATATTATGCAAGAACTGTACAGTTGTATCAGACTACAGATAATTTTTGCAAGACAATGGGGAGATAATTTTGCAACAGTATGGTCTGTCTTTGATTCTTGTATGATAAACATACAAGATCATGAGGTGTAAGTAATAAGGCGCATGATGATAAAATTGGTTCAGTCTTAGTCAAAGAACAATTTGTGTACTAGAAAAACGACAGCTTCAACAGAGATATGCACACAGGGACTCACTTTATGGAGTCAATTCTTGAATGACATGTCCTGCAAGTAAGTTTACATCAACTTTTTTAAAGTTACAACTGATTCAAAACTGTTTTGGACAGGCAGCTCTTTTATTGTGTAGGTTGTTTGTTTAATATATTCATGTATAAGGCAGAATATGGAAAAATGTTGCCATTTAATGGTAATAAATTCCCAGGACAAACTTTAAAAAGACTGCTAAAATTTACTCCCCTTAAATGGAGATTTAAAGGGCTTTGTTAAGTCTGTCATTAGTAACAAATACATGTATGTGAACTCATAGTTATTATAAGAAATATGCAACATGTTGATAGTCATAAAATGTCACATGTTTATTTGTGCAAGACAAATTAGAATACACTTAGACTTAATATCATTAATTACTATCATTAATGCAAGACAATAAAACATAATTTTTCATAAATCATAGCAGCATTTGTGCCTCAGCAAACAAGCTCAACGTGAAAAAGCTCAAGCATTTTAAAATCAACAACTGCATATATTTTTGAAGGTGATGATGAAAATACATGTCGTGTGTGTCACTCTAACATTCATGACATCTTTGATGTACATATGCAAGTTTTAGACAAACTGTGTGTACGTATATACAACTGAATTATACAATTAACTAAATTTGGGGAAGCAATACTGTATAAGGTTTACATCAAATAAAGGTTGACCCCTTGTATGAAATAGTTGCGCAATCGTATCTGTTAAGGGCCCAATCATCTCTTCTTTGAAGAGTTGGAAGTAGCACATTTTTACCTTCAGAATCTCCCCCCTTAAACTAGATTTTCCATCTTTCTCATAATAAAAGCCTTTTGTCATTCTTTGGTAACAGTGCGTCCTAAGTTTCTTCTCTCCATCTTTCTAGATTTTTCATCTTTCTCAAAATAAAGGACTGTCATTCTTTGGTAGCAGTGCGTCCTACGTTTCTTCAACATTATGTTCAAGTTCAACATTAGTATTGTACAGTCCTTGTTTTGTCCCGATGTTCTCTATGCTGTAAGTCTAGGGGCTACTACTTTAGGATGTGAGTATCCCTCCTTCGTGGTCTGGTACAGCACGGTCTCCGCCTTCCAGGGGAACCTGTTGATGAGGTGGGAGCTCATCTTGTGTCGGCCCAGCACGGCGAAGTAGTCCTCGGGCACGTCTGAGCGGAGCTTGGCGCGGCTCTTGTGCTCGGGTCGCCCCGTGAACCACGGGTAGGGGATCTTGGGCCAGCCGGACTGAGGTTGGAGGGACCACCAGAGTTGGTCACCCTCGGGGTCGTGTACCTTGGTCCCGCCGAAGTAGGGCCCCGGGCCGGTGGTGACGGCGTTCCACGACACCCCGGACCTCGGCCAGGGTAGGTTCTTCTCGCCGATCTTGGGGACGGGATCCCGGGCTGTGTGAGGCGTCGGGGCCGGGTGGCGCTGGTACGCCGGCCACTGGTCCTCCGGGGGCCACTGCGGACCTCGGGGGTTGCCGTGCTCGGGCCGTAGCCTCGGGTTTGGGGCCTCGGTCGGCCAGGAGTAGCTCGCCCCAGGTCTGGGCGGCGCGAAGTTGGACCAGGGCCGGGTCTGGTTTCGCCAGGACCAGTCCAGCTCGATGGGCCGGGGAGGGTCGATGAACGGGAAGTTGAGGTGACGTTGTCCCGCCTTGATCGGGTCCAACTTGGGTCGACCGAACATGGGCACGGGAACACCCTCACCGTCCACAGGGTTTAGTTTGTCTGGCATTGTGGTCTCAACTGAAAGGCAAATAAAAATAGTAAATACTTCAACTAGAGCTACAGATACAATCCACAACGCAGTGTTTGGTTAATCTCCAAGCAGATCTGTCGGTGGCTACAAAGACAATATCAAATTGGTTGCAATTGGTTACTAGTAATTCTTTTTGCTTGGATGACTGAGGACTCCCTACCAGTTTCAATAGCGACGCTTTAGCCGCCAGATATCTGCTTGGAGATTACTTTTTGGTATCAATTTAGCCACATCTACGACACAACATGACAATCCAGTTTGACCACATGGCCACAGAACTAGGTCTCAGTGCTAAATAATTTATACCAATGGGTCCCACGATACAACTAAGGGATTTTCGGACGATGGCAATACATATGTAGCAAATGCTGGATGCTTTGTCGGCTACTTTGGAAAATCCATCAAAGCGTGTAAATAATTTAGTCGCAACAAAACTATAAGTTATTCCGAATACCTGCTACACTATTTATGTATACATGAATCAATAAGGTAGTATTTTAGACTTTCCAACTGGATGAGAATTTAATTGCCAAACATTTCAAGTGTTATTCCAACACTCTTCATCTCTTCATTAGTTGGCTATTAAATTCTTATCCAGTTGAAAAGTCTAAAATATTACCTTATTGATTCAAGTTTTCTACCCTTATCTTCACAAACGTATTTATGTATCCAGGTTGTTTATCTTTTTAATCTTAAAATAACCGTTTGTAGTCTTTATTTAAAATTCATTACAGTTGTCTTCGCATCGATCAGATTAACGTAATTAAAGTCCACTTGTGTTAAATGACATGCCTTAAGGGCAAACCCAGTGCCCACACACAACAGTTGATCGACCACGATATGGTGAACTGACAACAAAAACAAATACTTGGCAACGTGTAAAAAGACAAGTCAATGAGAACAACGTCCCGGTTTGCCATTTTTAAAGGAACGTATTCGCGTTTTTGTCCTTTACGAAATTTTACTCCTTGGTCCCCACTTAAAGACGACTATTGTTTATGTGAAGAAAACGGTGTTAGATTTTCCACATATTATATGAAAGACAAGATCCCCACGCTATGGATGAGTGTCTCGGAGGTAACTGTATCTTCACTCGCTACGGTCCACGGAAACACTAAAGAAAAGTTTTGCAAAAGTGCCAAAGAGGAACGAAAATCCGAACTTCTACCCACCTTTGGACAGAGATTGAGAGGAGGAGACTTGCCAGTGCGTGGTTCCGGACTAAGACCTCTGATTGTGTTATCGGAACATGTAAAACCAGGCTCTACATAATGCCTTTGTTTACGGTAACCAAGGACGCTTGTAAAGCTTTTGGGAAGTCGTGAGAATGAGATTGTAACCCTTGTCGACGACTTTGTACCTTTCCGACTAGGTCTTACCGTAACTGGTACACGTAGAACACTAATATGTAAGGATTTTACGCTGTTTGGGCTTGACTCGCTGTATATGGAAAGTCGCAAATATACAGGATCGTTAGCGAAAGAATCAGCTGTAAGCTCGCCGTAACTATGGACTTCTATCTACAAACAATGCGATAAAACATACTCCTAACACTTACCTTACAGTCTCCACCAATTCAATAGTCTATAACGAAGCTACGATCTTACTGCACTCTTCGTCAAACTACGCAGCGTGAGTTTTTACGGCGATCCCGAGAGAAAAACTCGTCGTACCGCTAGACTGAACATTCCACGAGACCCCTCTCTCCGGCGACAGGTGTAATAAATACCGGAAAGGTAACACAATAGGGTAAAAGGTCAAATGTTACCACCCCGCCATTTGTGAGTCCTTTCTACACACCTGTTATAGGATACGGTGTTTGCCATGGCGGGTTATTCGAGATAAAGGGGGCCACGCAACGCTCATTTAGTATGAATGGAGACGGGGAAGAAAGAAAACACACACTGGGAGCTACGCGAGAAAAAAACAGCTTGCGCGAAGTTGACACAGTGTTATATCAAGTTTTTGTAGGCAACTTGAGTACGGGGACCTTTGGAGTATCAATTCAGTTGATATTTTGTGAGCTACGTTGCTATGTGGTCTGTACTTGCCGTTGTATTCTGTTCTCTGTAGACGGGGCGTCATGAAAAAATAGTTTTTATATCAATTACGTTTCTCAACTCTGAAGTAAGATATTTTCTTTAAAATGAAGAAATGTTTCGCTGTTCTAGATCTACAATATAATTAATGTATGAGTTATTTAAAATAGATACATTTACAGAATCAATTCCTTTTTGGGACTAACCATGATGCAAGGAACACAATAAATACAGCCAAATTATTTATTCAACATAGTCTATGTACATTTACATATACAGTTGTGAAGTGTTGTTTGTTAACATTATAGAGCTTTCTTATTGTTATATATGCCATTAACCACCAACATATTGGCTTGGCATAATACGGATATCTACTATATCCTTTGGCAAACGAAACTGAAGTCGAGAACCATTGGTTCTACTAACTATGTATACAGTAACCTGATTTGTACATTTCAAGCTATACAATACTAACTATATAACGTCATATACTAAAACTTACATTTTAAACTTTTTGTTGCAAAGACGTTTCTGCGTTAAATCATACGTTTAAATGAGAAGTGCTACCAAACAAAACCAAAGATAATCATCATCCGCGTAATGTGTTCATATTTGGAATAGTAAAATCTAGTTTGTGCTAAACGTCTTTTGTAAACTGTTGATTGCATAGTCGGGTTACTATACGAAGGTGGTACACTCCTTACATTTACAAGTGTCCATTAATTAAATTACGTACTGGTATCCTATTATCTATACTACTGTGGTATGATGTGTGAGTTTATGCGGGGATGAGGATAGGTTCTTCCTTCTGTGGTTTGTCGAGGTCTCTCTCCGGTGGATAGGGCAGGTTCAGCGGTTCGTTTGGTCTCGCCGTGTCCAGGATCATCTGAATAAACGAATAATGTCGTGCTTTAATGACTACAAAATTTAAGTGCAGAAAAAAAATGAATAAACATATATCGTGGATCTAAACTATCATAAGAAAATCTACAAACTGACATGACCAATGATAAGAAAGTTGTGTGGTATGGAGGCAAACCATTTGTACTGCTACAACAAAGAATCTACAGTAACTATAGTGGAAGACATAAACAGCAAAGGAGGTCCACAAAGAGAAAAAGAAAGTGAGTACACATTGTGGATGGGACGAGAACATTGTTCTTAAAGAAAAAAGTTAGCGAGGGCGTGGTTTATTAACCTCGTGGAAAGCCTCTTTCCGTTCCGTTCTTGGCTGAGCTAGCGGTGGTTCCGGATTCCGGTACTGCCAGGGCCGGTTGTTGACTTCGGGGAAGGGCGGGTAGGGCTCCCGGGGCTCGATCCACGCAGGCCAGTCGGGCTTGGGGTCGAACACGGGCCCTCTCGGGTCGGGGTAGACGCCCTGCGGCCAGCGGGTGTAGTAGGGGTTAGGCGGGAGCATCATGGCACCGTACGGGGACTGGACGCTGCAGTCGTCCCCTCCAGCGAAGGAGCGGAGGCTGTTGGCGTGCGGCAGCTCGGTGATGTCGCCCCGGCTGACGTCCGGGTTGACGAGCGGCCGGTGCCGGTGGGAGATGTAGTCGGGGTCGACCTTGACGTACCTCGCCCCCGGCTCCGGGCCCAGACCGACCCACGGCTGGGGCCGGGTGGCTGTCGGCTCGTAACGGTCGTAGATACGGGAACCCTTATACACACCTTCTTTCACGGTGGGACGGTCTCGTCGTACCTAGAATAATGCAAAAATAACATCAGCGACGAAACTAACGCTTCAGTTACGTCTACAGTCGCCATATGACGACATATTATTGCTGCACTCGGTGTAAAAAAAGTGCACATTTTGTCACACATTTTTATACACACATTTAGAACATATTTTACCCACACCTTTTAATTTTTACACACACACACACACACACACACACACACACACACACACACACACACACACACACACACACACACACACACACACACACACACACACACACACACACACACACACACATATACAAACACACATTTTTACGCACACATTTTTTCCACACACACGTTAAGCTAATATTCTTCTTTGGTCTCACCTGAGGATCTGGGACGACCTTCTGGATGTTGCCTGCGCCCCCTAGCGAACCTATCTTTATCCATTCCTTGTAGATAGGTGTTCTGTGGTTCTCCAGCGATCTCAGCTCTTCTTGTCTATAACTTGTACCTGTAGGGGCGAAGTGAACAAAAACAATGTGACTAATTTTAAACAGTAGATGTTATAGCATGAGGAACCTAATGTAAATCCTTATGTTTATTGAAGTACAGGAATAAATTTCCGACAAAGCAAATGGAGCCCCATGTTTAGAGTTAAATCGGTAACCATTAATCAAATTGTGGGCCTGTACATAGCTATGTTGACAGTAAACATACAGCAAAACACGTGGGGTGGGGCGAATGAATTACGGAGATATACTCAGTCGCACCCTGGTCCATTCGCAACGTAATTATGTGTCAATATTCGAATGTCTGAGAGAGGTAAAAATTGTTACCGTCAAGGCTGACTAAACATGAAACACACTGGACAATGTTGTAACAATACATGTCTTATCGTCGAGCTTACTTGTATGAGTTGCTAATCACACAAAGCCTATAGCGCTTGAAAATACGTAGTCCAAATATAAAACACAGACACTGACATGATAATTAAGGAAAAGCACCGTCTTGTGCGCCTGATCGTTCTACTCTAGAGAACACAATTGGCGATTGTATGTTGACCTTCGCGTTGCTAGCATGTTTCCCATACTGGCCTGGCTACAGCGCCTAGCCACGTACCTGTTTCGGGATAGCGTCTTGCACTGGTGGATATATCCATGGTTTGGCCGCCTTGTTTTTAACTCCTAACTAAAATCACTCCCAAAAGACGGATCCTCCCTCAAATCTTCGGCACACTGTCGGCTTCTAAAGTGTTAAAACCCGGGAATTTGTAGCGGATAGCCCTCTCTCGCTCAATCAATGAAATCTGTTTACTGCCGCAAACAAAGCGTCACCTGGTACCCGGGCAACGACCCGGAAGTAGTTACCTGAGCACCTTGCGTGCCCGGTCAGAGGTCACCTGGGTTGACACAACAAAACCTGACGCACCGGCGGGCTGTTGTGTTACATTGTATTTACGTCAACCGACCACGGCGGTCGATACTACTGCTTCTATGCCCCATAACTGGCGAAAAGTACTATGATAAACGTGTTTTCCTGACTCAGGGCCTATGGTGTTTAATAGTACGTTAGAGCACGGTCACATTTTCAAGCCGGGGCCCGGCCCGGTTGTTTGACTTTGAGGGAAAGAAAAATAGACAAATTTGTATGAAGAGTATACACAAATACTACTCATGGTCAATTTTCTAAAAAAAAATTTGTGTTTATCTGTCTTAATTCATAATTTCCGTTCCAAAACGACTGCCCAGCCGGGCCCTGGGTTAAGTATACTGTGCCCTAGAAAAGTTGTACTGCTTCTACTGCGCCACTGAAAAACTATTTTAAATTGTAGTAAACATACACCTGTACGGGGCTTGTACATGTTTAAGGAAAAGTGACTCTGAAATAGCTAGGTCGATCTCTGTCAACAGTTTACGAATGCTTCTCGTTGTTAAGTATAAATCTACTACATACACTTTTAGTTTACTAATATATTATTCAAACAAAAAGATTGAAGAAATAACGACGCAATAATGCCATAATACAAGCATGCTAGTATATTATATACAAAAACTTGACAAGAAATATGGGTATATATCACAAATGTGATTATGAATGTATTAGTATGTCTACATGCTTCATTTTACTTGTTCGGATTGTTTGATCGAATTCCTCAGGCGCTGAGATAAGCTTTACCCGTTAGTTACCTGTCCCACCTTAGTCAACGGCACAGGAAACAGGAAGTGGTGATTAAAGCGTCGCACCTTACTTCCGGTAGGACCCAAAAATAAACTTGAACGACAAAAGCAAGTCGTCAAAGCTGACGTCACGCCAGGATGTGAGGAATTAACATAAAAAAAAGATGGTCCCGGAAACGTACTACTACTACTGCATGTAGGTTTTAATGTTGTGAGGCATATTGCCCGCTCATTATACGTTTTTAAAATCTGCCAGCTACAATGTAGATGTTGTATTTGAATATCGGAACAAAAAATGATGTATTGTTGGAAGTATTAGAAGTGTTTTACGATTGTACGTTTGGAAATGCATCTATAACAGTGACACCTGTGCTGCAGTGCAATGTGAACCAGTCAGAATTGCCCTGAGGAAGGTGACAGACGGTCATAACCGTCGTCGAAACGTCGGCTGTGAATAAAACACTTGTTGTGCAAAAAGAGTTTCTTTACTCTATGAGAAGTATTCTAAGTTGTGTTAGGCTCTTCAGAGGTTCTGAGAATCGCAGGATGTTGTTTAGACTAAAATGGAATGCCTCTAAACCACAGGAATACAAAGCGGATGACTGTGAACTTGCGGCAGTACATAGCGACGTATACGACAAGCCAGCTTAAACTGGCATTTTGCGGAATTTAGGAATCGGCGCTGGCACTGTACGTACATGTATGTACTAAGTTCTTGAGTCGTGGGGCTTCAGTAGCCTGGGTACCCGACTCCGTATAGTCGCTAACTACCATGGAATACCCAGGCCTAGAGCCAGGCCATAAAATTACCAAGTCGGTGTGGCCTTAGGGGGCGAGTATGGGCCGGCAAACAGGCTAAAGAGTTCACAGACAAAGCCATTATTTGAGTGAAAATTTGAGACCAATCGAAATAGCAATCGGCCATATACATACTTTGATAGTCTCACTAGCGACCTTATTGGCGTCAAGACTTTTTAATAACACGGAACTATAAAGATTCTTGTAACAGGCAAACAAAAGAGTTGATGAAAACAGAAAATGTGCCAACTCATGGCACATCCGCTGGTGATCCGAGAGTGCCGGTGGCGACGCGACTCAGACCTTCTACTCGGAACTTCGGTAGCTTATTAGGTGCGCCCACGGGTGGGTGTTGACGTCATATATATAGCTTGCTCATATTGCCAATGGCAAAAAGGCTGGTATATACGAGTGTAGTGTCGTGTCTGATCGTCAGTCTTCAGTCGACATTGGGACCGCACACATCGTCAGGACTCTAAAGGTAGGCAACATTTTCCTTGTCCTCCCATTTATACAACGATCATCATCAAGAGCCGTAAGTATTTTTTGAGATTTATACAGTTTTTGGTTCAAAGACAGTCTGCATGGGGGAATCCTGAATGAAGGGGGGTCGACAACGCCTTTCCCACCTCATAGTTTTGGGATAGATTATTAACATGGATATCGATATTAATTAGTGATCGGATGAACAGTATATTATTAGGCTTAGGCAACAGCAAGTAAATGTTATGGATTTGATCGTCCTCAGACTCCAAATCTAATGCGACAGGGTGAAAAAAAGCCCAAGAAAAAAAATAGGATACCAACATTCGTAACATGTAAACCTGTATCTCATGACAAGTAACTTTGACAAATGAGTGGGATAAGTATCCGATTTGCAAAGTTGTTGGGTCGGTTTGGTAGTAGAAAAACAAGGCCAACTTATTCACCTAATTAGTTTCACACTAGAGTAATCACAGGCAGATTTGGGGGGTCAGACTACTTATTGTAAAAGCCTCAAACAGATAACAATCAACTGATCAATGCGCTGTGTTGGATTTACTTTCAACTCAACTCAATTCAACACAACTCAACACAGACTTACTTTACTGGTTTTTAAAAGACATCGTGGACGCTGAATGACTTTCTGCGAGATGAGGATAACGCTAGCCTCTATCAGGCTTCGGGCGCGGCTTGAAAGAGTAGAAATTGGCCGCATAGACCGAAAGCATCCCAGGGGAGCTGGTCCGCCGAAAAAGTCACAAAGCGGCAAATGTATACTCCTTCCGCGGTACAATTCCCCTGGGATGTTTTCTGTCTATGTGGCCAATTTCTAGACTTTCCAGCCGCTTCTGAAGCCTAGTAACAATCCTAGTATAGGATAGTATAACGCGACTTAGTATAATCACACATGGTACCTGTACATTTGATAGAGTTTTACACAATGACACCTTCTGTGGCTTTTTATTTTGAATTTTTATCTTCATTCTGGTGAAGTCTCAATCATTGAGGCAAGACAATTTCTGGGGTAATCAATGTACGGTGGTGCCGTGATACTGATTGGCTGATACTAGTCACGTGAGAGAAGTGTATAAGAAATTAAGGCTCTGTCTTGTCAAAGTGCGTTGTACGTGCGCGTCGTTGTCGTAGCGAAGAAATGGACGGTACGAAAAGAGAAACCGTCCTTGAGCCTGCCCCAGTGTCTGTTACCGGTACCCGCCAGAAAACCGTCACAGACCCCGCGACAGGAGTAACCTACACGCCGCTCTCTCCCCCGAGATATCGCGAACTTCAGCACGCAAGCAACGAGATAAAACACCAAGACGGACCAGGGGCGCAAATCGAAAAGTGACTCCGTTTTTTTTTTCTCTCGCTTTTTTTATTGTCTTTTAGTATCTTCTTATCGATGTGTCATTGTGTAAAGACCCCTTCACACTTATTCTGAATAGGCAGGAGTCAATTTAGCTGAAACATTCGGAATGAAGAATAAGCAAAATCGCGCCACATTTTGGAAACCCTAGTTATAGAATCAGAATGAGAGACCTTCATTGTTCAAGCTAAGTACAGTGGAGAAAAATCAGAAACAATATCACAGTAATATCTTACAGACTAATGTACAGGTTAAACTTTTTCTCGCTTCTTAACGCAGTTATATATGTATGAACATATGGAGTTTATACTTTTTGAGTTGAGTTGTTGAATACTTTTTTAATTGGGTTGTCTAGTCCCATAATAATCACGCCCTTCCAAGTAGAGGTGGGAGGTGGGGAGCCGTCTAACCACTTGTATACCCCTATGGGTATTTCTGAACTAGGGCATCAAGGATGTCAACACGAGAAACAATGGGTTCTTCTATTAAAGTAGGTTTGGTAACCGGTAACCATGCTGTTTTAATCCCAGATGAATGTCTGAGAAAAAAAAAAGATAAAACAACCGCCTTGGCCAGTTTACGGTCTAGTCATGACCAGCAGACAACATCGAGCCAACTCCTGTCCTCTCCTAGCTGACACACAGTCAGAATAGGCCTTACTAAATGTACAATTCCACACATTTAACACTTAGGAGTACACATTAGAAATACCTCATGCCTTGAAAGTGACTGTGAAACCCTACAGCGGTTTAGCCTCCTTCGCAGACTTTTGGGGTGGCGGCATTTTTTTTTCTCGGTGAGCGACGCGAGTTATGCCGCGGAGGGACGGTTTTGCGGCCAAGGGAGTTTTGCCGGGGAGAGACGGTTTCGTCAGTTTCCAACAGTTTAAGTGATTCACATTTAAGTTGCAACTGCAAGAAAAAAAGTGATTTTAATGAGCGTTACAGGCCGTGATCAGTTTTCCTTTCATTTTTCAAAATGTTTCTTTTGTTGTCGTTCTTTTTTTTCATATACACTGATCCTCATAACATCTATTTCATTACAGGAAAAGTCATCATCACCCACAACTGAGTTCAAACAGAAGCCACCACAGTGAGCTCACCATGCCCAGGGACTGTCTCGCGTTTCGCCTGGCCACTCATGACGATTTCGCCGGAGTTGTGGCCATGTCGGAAGGAGTGTACGGCGGGTTGGACTACCTGCCGTCCCACTATCACGCCTTCATAGACGACCCGCAAAGACTTGTCGTACTGGCGGAGTTGGACTGTCAAATTGTAAGATTCATTTATCATTTTCTGTCTTCTGTTCTTGTTTATTATGTTTACCGATTGAAGGAAAACATTGTTTTTGCTCTGTTTCCTCTTCTTCTTCTCCAAACCAATAAGGTCAATGACCTGAACCAGACGTCTGTGACCATGGTAACTGCTGTTGGGTTACATCATGTTGCAATTTAATGGCAAGAGGGTCCGGATTTAGACTCCATATATATGACTGTGTTTGAGTAATAATTAACAGAGCAGACTATATGCGAAGGTAAACATTATGCATTTGCTTTCCAAATATGTTACCTTTCTAATTTTCCAATAATGTTGAATTATTTTGCTTATCATCTTATCATTTCTGTAACTTGCTCTTTGTTTGTGACAAATTCTCTAATGCACACACATAGCATGCTAGTATAAAGTTGCAGAACGTTCAACAAAGATGTACATAATGCGGCGTTGTCCTTAACTGTCGTAATCTACTTTTCCGCTAGGTGGGGCTGTCCTCTGCTTTTATCGTTGACGGAGGCGAGGTGTACATAGAGAAGGCTTTACGTGTGGCGGAGTCGTGCCGCGGGCTGGGCATCAGCCGCCGCCTGACCGAGCACGTCGACCGGCTGGTCCGGTCACACTTCCCGACGGTGGAACGCAAGAGAAAGCTGGTTGCCGACGCTGGGAAGATCGAGTCCCTGAAGAAAAAGGGGATGGAAGTCGTTTGTCGTTTGGTGAGCAGAAATTACTCAAGAATTTACATATTTTTTTTCTACTATCATGAAACTTCATCTGTGTTGGTAGTTACATGTTTAAAGTTAAAACGTTCGATCCAACAAAAACTTTTTATGTTGGATCGAAAGGTTTAACTTTTAAGTTAAAACTTAAAAGACATACTTTTTTCTACAAAATATCTAAAGCTTCTCTATTTGCTTGCTATTTGACATTTAGGATAGAGTTTTGATTTAAAGTTGCTTTTCCTCACAGCCAACGACTACATTTGTGGACGAGCCAAACTCACGAGGCAGCCAAAGCGCATGCGCCATCCGAGCAGCAAACAACATCTTCGGCACGATAGAAAACAATCTTCCGACTCTTCCCGAAATCCGCCGACTTCACGCCAATGACATGCCTTCGGTTCTCCGACCCGAAGTTTCACGAAAGCTGCTCACCAACGGACTCATGAGCGGGCGCTGGGACGCGCTCAACTTCTGCGAGGAAAACTTCCTATATCTATTCAACAACGGTTTCTCTCTATTCGCAGACGACACAGAACCGTTTGTAGAAAGCTTTAGTTTTGGAAAATGTTTCCAAGTTCCGTCAGGGCTGCAGTATTTTGTGGACCTTCACGCATCAGAGGAAAGACACGTGAAAGCTCACTTGTTCAAACACTTTGCTGAGATGTGCAGGTGTGACACAGAACTCCCGATCTACCTCACAGTGTCTGTCGCAGAGGAAGCCATGGTGGAAGCGGTGGAAACATTCTGTTCAGAAGTTCTCTGTTTGCGCCCGTTTGACCTGTGCCATGATAGCCTTGGAGTGGTAGTAGAAGGGAAACTATGATATTACTCGGTCTTTAGACTAGAATAAGAGGTAACGGTATTTCAAATATACGAAAGCATTCGATCATGGGCCTAGCGGTTATGTACGGTACTGCATCGAAGCATCAACGTTTGAGGTAAAATTTACCGTGTTAAGTTAATTATGTTAAAAAAAAGGTGTTGGGACTGGGAGTACGTTGTGTAATTTTGGGCATCCTACCAGCTTGTTTAAAACTGTAGCTTTTGGAATTTAAGGGAATAAGTCAAACATGGATTGATGAATTGTATTGTTTTAGGTAGGTGGGTACTTTAGGTAATGAGAAATTATAGAGATGTCTAAAATTGTAATCAATTGCAACGTATAATTAACGGAAATAAATATATTTATATAATTGCATTGAACTAAAGTCTGTTTGCCACTATTGCCTGTAGGTAGTTGAAGTACGCCAATAGTTGACGTCTTTCTGGCCCTTGATGTTTTTCTTAGGCGGTGTCTTAGGGCAGACATGCTAGGGTCACGGATTTTGGTTGTTTTGGCTCGGCCATGTGCTTAGGCCATGTTGATTTGATTATATGGATGACATCCGCGCGCGCATGAATTTTCGGCCGTTTCAAAAAAAAAAAAAAATTTCAACCATACTGTAAATCGCACAAAACAGTTGCAAAATGAGCAAAAATAGACCGTAAGTCACAAAAAAACCATACCAATGTCGTAGAATGCCAAAATCAAACGAAAAAAGACGAAATTGTAAAGAAAGACTAGATTATTCGCCAAACCATATTCTGTCCCATTTGTTTAACCCTCATGACCACGTAGATTTCATAATGAAAACAACTTTTTTTTTTGCAAAACTTTTTTTTATTCGCACGCGCGCATCAATTTTAGGGTTCCCGGAGGATGTCATCCATATAATCAAATCAACATGGTCTTAGAATGGATCACTGAAGAAGAATCAACACAGCTTTAAACTGGAGACCTGCGCATGCTAGAATAGAAACACAGGCAATTTCCTGGCGGGACTAATCCGGCGATCAGCGAAGAAGGTGGCCAAGGACACAAAAAGACATAAATATGTAATGAATTATGTACAATCACAATGACTGTGCAGGGCAGCCCAAGAAACCTGTGTCCTTGCCCCTTTTCCATCATGTATCCCTTGCCCCTTTCCTTACTATACCTTAACTTGGCGAAGGCACGTGTTCCTAGGAATCTACTTACATAATTATGTGTCCTTGCCCCTTTTCCACCATGTATTCTTGCCCTTTTCCCTGCCTTAACTTGGCGAAGGCGTGTGTTCCTAGAACTCTAAATATATGTATCCTTGCCCCTTCCTTCCCTTAACTTGCGAAGGCATGTGTTCTTAGAACTCTAGTTACATATGTACATGTATGCGTCCTTGCCCCTTTTCCTTATCTTGACTGTTTCCAGGAAGCCACACCCGCCATACGTCATCACTAGTGCAAATTTCCATACATGTCAGACATGTGGGTTCAACGTTCGAAACAACCCGTCAGGCTAATATTAGTAAATGGAACAGGCCAATAGACGTAGACCTATTCATCACATTAACATCTCGTTGGGTAAAGGAAACAACGCGTATTCATGCATCTCATCGTAAAGTGCAAACGCGAGACGAAATTCACCAAAGCACACAAGTGCTAAATCAAAATGGTGCAGAGGGGAACACTAATCTTCCTACTTCTGGTCTACAATCGTTTGATTTTTGTTCTGAAAGCGGCAAAATGCCCAGAAAATTGCCACACGAAAGCGGCCAATTCTTGTCGCTGTCCCGACCCAAATTGGAAGAGTTCTCCGTGCAGCTTGGTTGGACATGGAGGACCGTACAACTTTCCTGCATGTCTGGACGCCATACCAACCGACTTCTCAAGAGGAACTGTATCAGTCTTAATCCAGCATCTCTCTTCTCCGACCCTGCTTGAAGAATCGTTTCAGAACCTTCCTTTCCTTCTTCACCTGAGTATCCGAATGTCGAACGTTTCTACAATCCAACCAGGCGCCTTCCGGGGTCTACGCCACTTAACTCACCTGTACCTTGTTGACAATCGCGTCTCAGGGATAGGTAAGTTAGAAAGAGGTTTCATTTTCCAGTACTTGTGCCCGAAAATAAATGCATGCTACATTTCAGTCAAGAAATGCTTCTTAGCTAGATGCATGAATTTTTATAGTAGATTCAGATACACAAATACATGCTACATTTCAGTCAAGAAATGCTTCTTAGCCAGCTGCATTAATTTTTATAGTAGATTCAGTATACCAGGGCAATACGTTTCTAAATTTTTATATGGTTTAAAGGTACAAAGGTAAAAAGCAGAATATGACATTTTTGGGAACTCATTTCTGCAAAATTTGTATTGTAAAATGTCACATGGCAAATGTGAATATTGGGGAGTATTACACTTTTAGTATTTGACAAAATAGTTTTTTAGTCAGATATGGTAAATGTATATATAGATGATTTGAGGGAGTCTGGATTTTAGAGATATTAATTTTATTATTATATAAAATTTATACAAAGGTGCTCAAGTTTGATCTCCCCCCTCCCCCATTATGAAGGAGAACTGGAAACAAATTTCATGTCGCTTCAAAATCAACTCCTTTCTTCCTCATATTATTCAAAACTGTCATTCATATCAACGTTTCAATCATATTATCATAGTTACATAATATACATTTGTCGTTTATTTCTATATCGTAGTCTCTTAGAATAGAATTGCTTGTATTGTTCACATCGTCATTGTTGCCATAAGTTGTACCATGTACTACTGTCGAGCAATAAAGTTCATTCATTCATTCATTCATTCACATAAAATTCAACATCTGGCTTAAAATTCAAGTTAAAGGCCCTATTTTATGTACCCTCAGAACCTGACACTTTTATTGGGATCGGGAAACTACGTGTTCTACTCCTGGAGAAGAATGCTATTTCCGCCATATCCCAACATGGATTCCGTGGATTAGCACAGCTTCGAGTGTTGCGGTTGTCTGGTAACCGCCTGACTTCAGTACCCGTTACCGCACTGCTAGATCTACGTGCTAGCGTATACGTGGACCTTCAGAGGAACCACATCGCTACTATCGACAGAGATGTTGTACGTTTGAAGTATATCAAGGGCTTGAATCTGAAGATAAGAGATAACAAACTGCGATGTGACAAGGATCTAACGTGGTTCATCTGCAGCCTGCCGGACCTGCCGTACATTTCTGGAGCCGAATTTCTGAAGTGTGCCTCTCCTCCTGATCTGTTTGGAGCTAGTCTAACTACCATGGAAATCGAGCTCTGCAAAACTAAAACGGACAGGCCACAGCAAGAGATCGGCTCCAAACCATTCAGTGAACATTCCACGACGACAGAGTCTAGGAACGTGCACTCATCACCTCACCACATCACTTATCCCTTGACCTCATCGAGCTCGGGCGGTCGTTGGGGTACCACGAGGCCACTTTTCTTAGTGTCCCATGTCTCATCAGACCCTCAAATCCCTACCACCCACCCGTACAGTGATTCCATTCCCACTGAGGAGTATACTGAGATTCTGACTGTATCTGAGCATACCACACAGATGGATAATGTTAATGACTTTGGGGAAGACCCAGTTATCAAGAAGGATGTCAACATCACCCTTGTCATGATCACTGCCTTAATCACTGCTGTTGTTGTGCCCCCGCTCCTCGTGTTGACAATGACAGCTCTCCTCTTCATCCTCAAGCTCTGTCGCGGTACAGATTTGCCTCACCACGACGGAAGTTACGAAGAAGCTACTTCCTCAAAAACCGATAATAATATCGAGCCGTACGCAGTTTCCTATGCTGACTCGGCTGAACTGAAGGGTCATGACAGAAACTCAACCACAAACAGACTACCCTCCCCAGACGACAGCCATACCATTGAGCCGTACCAAGTCACCTATGATGACCAGACAGGATCACAGCTTCAGTCCAATGCAGCGGACAGCGTTGATGACCCAGCGCAAGAAGACAACTATGAGGCCCAGCCGTACGCAGTCGGCTACCCTGAGGACTCCCCACAAGCCACAAGAAGCCGTGCAGAGGCAAGTTTAACACCACAAGAAAATGGTACTGATGGGCGGGCAACAGACTTCAAACGACCAGTCGTCCAATCACTGACAAATGATGAGTCAAAAGACTCAGAAGATGAAGAGGAAGAGGGAGAAAGTGATTCGACCGGAGATGGTAAGGGTCCTTACGGGAAGGACGAAGGGCACCAGGTTCCAGGAGGAGTTGGACTGCAGTACCAGAGCGGCTCGCAAGCGAACAAGGGCGGCGCATGTTCAGTGTACAACCCGCCTGATGGACGGATTCAGACGAGTGGACATCATCAGTCAGTGTTGTATGAAGACGAACGGGTGGACACTGGACTTCCTCACTGATAGTAAGAGACTGTTTGCAACATTTTCGGTCGAAATGTTTAAGAAACGTCTTGTATCTTCGAACATTCCTGATTTAGTCCCTGGATGGAGGTTTTAATGGAGGGAAGTTATAAAAGTGGAGTATAGTAGCAAATTAAGAATACTTTTACCTTTGAATTTCTGAATTACCAGGCACTACAATTACATAGTTTTTTAAATTGTTTTGAGCATAATTAAAACATATTTGCATAGACATGAACGTATTTCAAAATTGAATTGGGTAAAATTATTCTGTAATTAATTGCTTTTTTCCATTATGGTTGTGATTATTTCATGTGTAGCGTCATAAATGTACCAAACTGGATACACTGTGCATTTAAATAAAAAACTACCGTTAAATTGTTCATTTCAGGTATAATTATGATATTTATATCATAATAAAATCAGAGACTACATTTGTCTGGCCATGAGAAAAGGAACTCAAAACTATCATATTTTTCACTACAATTAGGACTATAGTTCTAAATTATCAAAATTAATTGTATTGTAATTGGCAGCAAACCTGAATCAAAGGTATAGTGTGAATGTATGAAAATGGCCAGACAAATACAGTGGCGGGTAATTAAGTGGAGGTGATAGAAATGGAACAGCGTCTACATGTGTTCGCCCCCGCAACACGTGCACATGCATGCACGTGTACATGCACATAATGTGTCAAAAATGAAAGTAAAAGGTAACATTAAGTTTGCAAAGCAAATGCAAATGTTTACCTTCGCATATGGTCTGCTCGGTTAATTCTTACTCAAACACATTCACATGTATGGTGACAGGACTCTAAATCCCTCCTGCTATAAAATTGCAACATTATGTAACCCAACACCAGTTACCATGGGGATAGACAGTCTGGTCCATCAGGTCACTGTTTGGAGATGAAGAAGAAAGAAACGTCGCAAAAACAATGTGTTTTCCTTCGATGCTTCGGTAAACATAAGTACAGTGGCAGATAGACGTAATTAAGTGGGGGTGGTGGAAATAGAACAACATCTACATGTGTTCGCCCCCACAACACGTGAATGTGTTTGTTACAATACAATGGGTCAACGAGAAAAGTAAAAGCAAAATGGTGACTCTAAAAGAAGCAAGCCATTCTAACATAAGCATGATTTTCTAAGCCAAAATCAGCCTCAGATTTGTATCAGTCCAGCCGCCCGGAGTGTCAATTTGTGGACGGCCTAAACTTATGTTGGGACGGGGGGACGGACTGAGACGCAAGTTTGGACGCATAGCAGGGAGCTCACAAAACGTACGTTGGGCTCACTACCCAGATTGTGTGTATGTTTAATTATGTCTGTGTAATAGACGGGAGACATAGTTCTCTCTTCGGAGATTGAGGGGGTTTCACTTCTGAATCATTACCATCGCAATTACCGAGTCAGCTAAGATTTGATTTCATAGAACGCCTGCCACTGTAATCTTGTGAGTGTTGCTTCGTTCGGCACATGATATACTCATAGGAACTATGTAGATACGATTAAAACTCCGCTAGGAATCCGTTATTTACGGTTTAGACCGGGGAGACGTGCACAGGGTTAGCGGCCGTCAGGGGCGGAGGGTGGCGGATAGAACTTAACAGAAAATCACATCTAACGTCTGGAATCCCCTCAGGTCTAACTAATCTTAAATATGTATCGATTTAGGCTTTGTGATTGGTATGAAATCCTGGCAGTGAGTAGGTTTAAGCCAGACGTAATGCCGTTATACCATAGCTTGGAAAGAAACTGTTGTAAAATCCATATTCGTTGCAGTAACTTCTTGTATAGTGTCACGTAAATTGTTTATAAATTTTGGTTATATTGTTGAAATGCAAAGAAATTTTATACTAGAAAGCATTTTCTATTATACGTTCTAACTATCTGGGTACAATAGGTTCTAAACTTAGAAAAATGGTCTACTTGAATCATGTTTTAATATTAGAAATAGATTGTTCAAAGAGAAAAATTTGTGATTGTAGTGAGGGGAACTAAGAAAGAAAAAGAACAAATTAGAAATGAACCAAATTCACAATAAAGCGTACGGCTGTTTAGCAATTTTCTAAGAAACACATTGTATCGAGCCTGCCAGTCATTTGCGTTTCATCTTTATTATGGGAATGGGAAGCGGATGCGAATTTAGTAAGAAAAGGACGCCTAGAATTTGCATACCAGTCTCATTAGATTACGGGATTAATTACTGCATTTTAGTTCCGCATGGAGTAATGGAAATCGGTATTAATGGAATGATGCCAAAGCGGGTTTAAGCCCCTCAGTTCCCTTACTGAACAGGAGTTGGCAAGCCGCCACCACAGCAATCCCGTAATGAACCTGAAACGGCGATATTGAACACCCCAAAGCACTCTGCAAACATTACTTGAGAGCCAAGACATGTACAGGAGTGACCAGTGCCTGTTCCATCGATACAAAAGCGGTAAACTCAAACCAGGTTACACAAAACACTGTCCCGTGCCAATTTAATTTTCCAATGAGTCCATTTCATATTAAACCGGCCGTCGCCCATACATGAAGCAATAAAGCTTTGGTCAAATTAATACGGATGTATGGATTGGACGAGTGAAATCGACAGCACGGTAATAAATTTTTTGGGGGGGGACGGAAAGCGACAGGAGCGTTAAGTGGTCCGGAAGACGTCCCGGACACAGAGAGTGATTTTCCGTGGCCTTATATACCTTGTCGGCGGCAGTCCACCCACGCAAACACAACGCCAAAGAGATGAAGTCATCGGCGGGCAATTTCGCGGGAGTTTTCGTGCTGTCGCTGCTGGGGTGTCTGCACATCTCTGCGCAGGTTGGTTTTGTAATCATCTGTTTCATTGTTTTCATTATTGTGTGGGCACACATCCGGAGCAAGGTGGCGACCACGCCCAGTCTGAGCTAAAGATAAGTTTAATGTTTCAGTCACTGAGAGGAAAGTGATTGGAAATATTGCTGTAAATTTCTTCGCCTTAAACATCAAACAACAGTTGGTTGTGAATTTTTTAAAAGCTAGGTGGTGCGCAATTGTAGGTATAATAGTAGTTATGGGGCAACAGACCAACTGACTCCATATAACAGGCGTAGTTAGAATAAGTAGTTTTCATCACATTGATGTAAAAAAACATGTTTTTTTAACAAACTCCGTCAGTTTTGTACCATATCTTCTTTTCATGCATTGCTGTGTATCTTAGAGAACGTTCAAGAATACGTTACATCATATCAAGAATATGTTAGATTTTTGTCATGACTTATGACAGACTTATAACTTCAGTGCTGCACTATATATCTTGAAGTTTCCACCAAGCGTACGTTTTGCAAAGTGCGTTATAGAATAGCTTATAGGACACGCCATTTCAAAAGCGTCAAGAATCTTAACAGAAAATTATCATGACGATGCTAGCTAAAGCAACGGCAGCACACAAAAAACCGGGATGGCCTTGACACGCACACGTATGACTTCAAAACGTCTCAAAATACTGAATTCATAGTCAAGAACAAACTATAGACTGTAACTATTGATTAATACTAGTATATCACAAGCAAAGGGTAAGCTCCAATCATCAGGATGATGATACATAGAAGAGTTATTTGACAGAGACCGCCATGACCTGTGACCCTCTCGTAAACCTACAGTAAAAGTAATGGGTTCCGCCTAGATTGGATACAGTTTGTACAAGTTATCTCGTAAAGTAGTGTCTCTTCATTATTTCGCGAGGTTTTCTGCATACGTACCACAAAAGCATCATGTCCCTCTTATATGCATGTGTCTTGAATGGTTAGACATGTCACTAATTCTATCATACTAGTAGGTTGTGTTTTCTACCAGTAGGTTGAAATATACACATTCACTCAAAGGACAAAGGTGTATTTTCGCATTTCTCCTCTGGTCTCTTAGTGTCACTGACGAAAGGTAGTGGATGCTACCTGAAACGTCTGACCATTTCCAAAATCATATCCAGTTGCTTGAGTAACTGCCTTTTGGCGTGAGAAAGGTGTAAGCCTTTCGGACAAAATATACTCCCAATTGCAAAGCTTGATACTAGTAGTATCAAGTACTAGAGTCCAAATGAAATGTAGTAGTTGAGACCAAAGAAATGTATAACTTTTTTACTACAGATTGATAAAATCTGATCGAAGACGACACACTGTCATCTTACTTAATATCTTGGTGATTCATATCAGTTCCAGTTATGTCATTTTCTGTGAAGACAATGATGTGACCCTGGCTAGACAGTGGAGCGCAGTGGCGATTTGGATGGGGACAGTAGAGTTGATTAAATGACAGAGTAACTCCCTAGGGCCGAGGACACATTGAGGAGCATGGTGATAGATTGCACAGAGACAGTGTTTTATTTTTTTCTTGTTGGGCGATTTCTGCGTACTAGGTAAGTTAAGCCCCTGATACAAATAGGACGAATACTGCCTCCCGAACACTAGCCGGAACTCCCTATAACCATGGTAAGGAGTAGGTCGGGAGCAAGGTCGGCTGTGGCTGGCTGGTGTTCGGCTTGCTCGTGTACTGTTCGACTGTTCAATGTTTCAAAATATTTAGATATTGGGGTGTTGACGGGAGGTTCGGCCATGGTTGACTGGTGTCTGGTTGAGGTATTGGGGTACTGGTATTGGGGTCAAATTTGACTCAAATTTGATTCAAATTCGATTCGTGTAGAAATGTAGGCGTGGTCAACCAGCCTTTGTTGGATGATTGGTTGGCGGTCGGGGGATAGATGATGAGTCTTGTCCAGTCAATCCACAATACCCATTCTTTTAAGAAATCTCTATATCATAAAAAGACCTGTATCACTGCATAACACCCTTGAGATGACAGGTAGAAAATGAAGTATGGGATCCGCTATCAATTCGAGATTGACGGTCAAACCAATCCTCCTGTTGAAAGCCGAGATACTTCTACCGATTGTTTTTTGACTGGAAGGTTATTTGTTGGTACAGGGATTTTGGCATTCTAGCTAGTGTGTGTACTATCTCTCGTAATGTAGCTCCACTTCTTTGCAGAATCCTTCTTAGAATACCTGGCTCGCTCTTGGATTGATTCCAAGCAGGAAAAATGAATCAGGCGAAGATGCACGCATTCCACTCTCAGATTTATAACTAATACCAAAGTGCTGTCGGTAAATATACCCGTGTGCAATTAATACTGCAACAATCGTCTCGCCGTAAAGCACTGTGGGACAAACTGTGGTCCCATTGACCCCGTGTCTGAAGTGATGAAGTGATGCACCATGGGAGTCCTGTGTGAGGTAGTCAGGGTACACGGTAATGAAACTGGCGGCTCCTGCTGACCGGGAACTTCCCACAGCGCACGTTAGCAGGGCAGGATAGATAGAATTCTACAATTATGTTTGATAAAAGATTTTTTTGCAAAAGCTATTGCATTGTATGTTAACTAAGGCCACAGCAAGTCAATTTTATGGATGACATCATCCCCAGTCTCCAGATCTAATGCGATAGGGCGAAAAAAAACAAGGCGGGCCAATAAAAACAAGATTCCTTCATTTTCAAATTTTTAGGTCAGAAGCCTTGTTAAACAAGAATTGAGGTGACAAAACATGATATCACACCAAACAGATATTTACTCTTGTATTCAACAGCTAGTATTACATGTCCTTGTAGATGTGTGATTTGAGATCAAACGCGAACCATTGTGCCTCAGTTTGCTGAATCCCTGGTGGTCTCCGAACCGATATTTAACCATTTTCGGAATGTTGACCACCGCTAGAGGGCAAATACAATTTCTTGTTTCAAAATCAGGCGAAAATTAATGCGCGCGCTAAATATTACTTGCTGTGGCCTAAATTGGGCGTGAGTAGGAATACGTGATCACATTTAGGACTGGTGTTTTGAATTGAACAAAAATTATGGAGCAGATCAACTTCCAACATGCTATGAGCTGACCTACGCAGATATATACAAAACATGATTCTATTAATGTTAACTCTAATCTGTTTTATTGCTTGAATATGTATCTATGTTCTTGTCCCATACCAGGTAATGCAGTAGTTATATTATTACATCAAATACTGAATATAAAAGTAAGTAAAACATTACTACCGGTAGTAAACTAAGTAGGAAACATAACAGTTAAGCATACAAATCTATGCTATCACCATCTATTGTAAACATGTCATTACTAGCTCTAAAGTTTGTGCAGCTGGTCGTTAGTCATATCTATTGAGAACACCTGGTCCAGAGAGTCCACATGGCGCTTTGGTAATGATTGATTCTTTCGGCAGAAAATATAGCCGGTAGAAATTGAAGCAGCAGGACAAACTGCACAGCCATGGCATTGTACTGGCATTCAATTACAGGAATGGACTGCACTCATCAATTTTAATATCATACAGTGTAATACAAGCTGCGAGAAAATGATAACTCATGTGAAAGGCTAGAAAGGTCAATATCATTACCTCCATGAAAAGTGGAAGTATTGTTTTTGGTGTGTCTGTCTGTGTGTGCGTGTGTGTGTGTCTGTCTGTCTGTGTTTCGCACATTTGTAGTCAGCATAACTTCAGAACGCCTTTATGGATTGTGATGAGTGTAGGTAGACAAAATTGATGACTTTGTTGGGTGTAGGTAGACAAAATTATATGATTATCAACGCAGATTTTCCTATGAAACAACTACATATTTTCATGCTACGTTATCTGCAAAAATTGTGGCTGGAAATGGCACTAATGTTTCTGCAGTGTAACAAATGACAGCAGCTCGTAACCCTTGTGTAAATCTTCATCAGACCTCGCAATTTCACTTCAAACAGAGTAACAAGACGGACGTCCTCTCAGGGTTAGTGCGGTGGTTGCTTTATTGTATTGGAGGATTCGTAGGTCAACGTTCTGCTCGATTGCTTGGCGGTTTTGCTCTGCATCTTGGCGACTTGATTTGCAAAGCGGGAGAACGTTCCTCTGATGTAATCAATACTGTGGCAATGACACCCGGGGGAACACTAGTCTGCGTACGGGGCATGCATAGTCCGGGGAGGAGGTATTGGGGGTAAGTATGACGGAACGGTGGCGTTTTTATATTTGTTCATGTGAATCTTAAAGAAGAGAAAATTGGTACGACAACTTTGACAAATGAGCGTTGCAAAGCAACTAACTTTTACATGGAGAAAATTGGGCAAGATGCCATTTAATAATAATCATTTACTCTCCTTCCTCTTCTTACCGGTATTTTCTCGGAAAGGTCCTCTTTCATCAAGGAGTGCTTTTGTCTTGTTTTGGACGTGAAATTTCCGAGTCATAATCATTAGTCTGGCTTGAACACAATCTTCCACCGCGAAGACCTGAAAGCAATAGCACAAATCACAGGATTACTGGAAGTAGCAAGCTCATTGCAAAGTACTAAAGCCATGACGAGCCTCAAACTGTTGGCTACAGATAAAACCCTATCGTCGTTTTCCCGTCATTTCTGACCCTCGGAAAATTCCTCAATGTCTGACAAAGACCGTTATCTCTTAGTGGTGGCTTAAGGTTTATAGTGCCTGACATTGTTTATGGACGTGTTTTTGTCGGATAGTGACGCACAGGGTGATTAATTAGCATATTACAGCCCCTTCATCTGAATTACATGCGCGTTCCGCCGCTACATAAAGGGTCGGAGTGGGAACCAAAGCTTTGTGCTGCTCTGTCCGTCACTACTGGCACCCGGCTGGCATCCTTCTCCGACCTATACCATCAGGTTAGACATTTAGCTTTCATCTGTTTTATATCTAATCCCGCCTTTATGTAACGTCTTTATACGATATTAGATACTCGACTTGTCATTACAATTTGTCTGCGGCTTAGAGCCACTTTTGGATAACTAGATTTCAGGGCGTGCTGTCCGGGATATCTTGATTGAGTTCTTTGGCGCACACATCTCTTGATCTAATCAGTGGTTCTTGATGTAAGATTTGCCATCTAATTTTGAAAAGTTATCCGAGGATAACCTTTTTTACCGCCCAAACTTTAACTTCTCACAGCAAGTGCTTAAGTAATCTTTACCGAGCCTCTTGGCGGACGGAAAGAAATAGTAGAAATTGGCCAAAATATGTAAAATATATTATCAGAGGACTTGAATCACAGATGTCTGGTAGAGGTACATGTATATCAGAGACTGGCGTTTGCTATTAGAATAGTTTTTCCGTGTGTTTTCAAACTAATACATACTATTAGAATCAACGGTGTAAACGCAGATCTGTTGAAATATGTCGTTAAGAACTATTGCCAGACGTGTCCAGGTTGGATATGTCTGAAAATGATGTGCGAACAAATTCCTGCAATTTTTTTCTTTTTTTTTTGCTGAAGAAAAAAAAATAAGGAAAAACATTTTCGGACGGCACTCTGTTCTTTCGCGAATTCGTTTACCGCACGTCATTGTTGAACCGATAATGTTCTTGCAGATATTTGTACAACCTTCTCTTTTGGTAGATTTTTTTCTCGGAAGACTTGTACTTACTATATATTGAAACAGCTGCAGCATCATTGAGTAATGCATGTGAACAACCCGTTACCATGCTTAAACATTTATTGCATTTCTGACTCCGATCTCTACAGTCCTACGTGGTAAAATAAGAGCATGTTTCTATTCATTTTGACCTTACCCTTTTGCCAGTAAAACTGCCTCCCTGGCTCTATTAATACATTTCTGCATAAATTCCATCTTCAATCAGAGCGCATTAATAGTAAAACTATGTTCTTTATGTCCTGTACATGACGAGACTTGTGTGTAGTCAATGAAAAGTCCAGGTCTAAAACGACCAGACAGATGAATGCGTTTGTTGCATGCAATGCGCTGCTTATTACTAGTATTGCTACGTCGCACTCGGGCAAGCCAAGTTTAAATCAACATAATCTTTTCTATGTTACATCTGTTGGATGGATAGATAGATAAATGGACGCTGGGTGGATTAAAAGGGTTTTGTTCTGGCACAGGCCAATGTGATTACGTAACAAGACGTCGAAGTCTTCGTTTACTGATAGCCTGTTATGTAATGTTGGACGTACGCGTAGCATTGCCAACTGGGTGCCAGTTCCGGGAACGAGCAGCGCTCCAAACAGCTTCATTCCAGGAACAGGTATTTAGCGGTGCCTCAACTGCTGATTATTATCAGTCTTCAAAGAGGTTAGTAACACTTATTGTTTGCTGATGGCAAGAACTCATAAAATAGATTACAGGATTTTCAGAGCTTTTTCTTATACATGTAAAGGATCTTTCTGCCCAATGAGTTAGTTACAATATAGCCATATTTGCGATTCCAGAAATGTTCAACTGATGCTGATTTGAAATTCAGCAACACGAAAATAATAACATGACACACTGACTTCTGATTTATAAATAGTTATATTATAAGCCATGAATCGAAATGCCATTGTTGGTGATTGTTTTCACTCATATTAGCATATCATATTTGATTGATGTTTACGAAGTACGTACAATAGATTGCATCATAAATATCAAATTGATGTAAAGAGAATTATTGATGTCTGGGTAACGATGTCTTCTGTTCGACCGATGTCTTCTATTCAAAAGAAAACATCAATCATTGATGGAATTTCGCTTACGCCATTTTCTGTTGGCATTTGGATGTAAAGTCCTCCAGTGAACACAGCTTGCCCCTGTGACCTTTCATGGATGATGACTCTTTTCAAGCGAAGAAAACGTTACAAAAGGAACTGTCTGTATCACATAGAACATTTCTCACAGACGCATCTTCACAAAGGGCGTCAATTTCCTTTTCATCTCGATAAGAATATGTGATTTACCAGGCGACTCGCATATCACCAGACAAGGGGATTAGGGTTAATAAGAGCAGGACCATAACAACTGATGTCCTGTAAAATTTATGGTAAAGTACTGTCTTCAGAGACCCTCCGTTTAAGCTGGATGTGATTATGTTTATAGGACCATGTTGATTTGATTACATGGATGACATCCTCTAGGAACCCCGAAAATTGATGCGAGCGTGCGAATAAAAAGTTTGACAAAAACAAGTTGCCTTTATCAAAAAATCTACGTGGTCATGAACATTGAACAAATGACTAAGCACACATAGTATGGTATGGCGAATAATAGACGCTTCATTTTCATTTTTCACGTTTTTTTCTTTTCCATTGGAATTGATGTTGGCATTATCTATGGCATCTATTACATTAGAATCGTTTTACAATATTTCTTTGTGCAATTGATGGCGTATATTTGCTGATTTTGCAGCTGCTTTGTACAACTCACAGCATGGTCAAAAACTTTTATTTTTGGAAGCGGACGAAAATTCATGCGCGCGCGGATGTCATCCAAATAATCAAATCAGCATGGCCCTAATATAAGCAGAGCAGTTATTGGTGAGTTATTTTCGCTTTTTCATCCGGAGAATGAGCGAAAGAGCCTCACGGGACCGACTGGAGCTAATCTATGGCTGACGAATCATTCTAGCCGACCGTAAATGGCCAATTATGTTATTCGCCAAGGACCGCAGGGGAATCAGCAAATGAGCATGTCTTGGAAATGAGAGGCCATTCAGAGCACTTGGAATATTTATAATGATGATCATGCGGTGCATCCCTTGTGGTAACGCCTGTCCACTCTAGGACTTTGCATCTAGTTCGTGGGTTTGAAGTAAACTAGTATCAAAATATTCCCCTAAAGCAAAGCGTACACGAGATGCCATGTCCACACGCGAATGTCAAACAGTAAGTAAATGGAAGCCGTCTTTACGGACTTTCGATTAATCCATAATCTTTTATCCAGGGACCTGGAGATAAAGCCTGAAGGATTAGGGTCTCCAAAAGGCTAATCCACCCGTGCTTAAAAGCCAGATGCTCTATATGTAATGTACATTCAAGGCAATGGCGACTGGTCCTGCTCGCCTTTGTGTTTGTGCTCGATGGATGGGGTCTAGGCAGCGCCTGGTAGCGAACATGATGCCGTAATTGGAGGTTTAGCTGCGGGGTTTTCTGTCACACGGAAGGACGGGGAAACCGCCGCTCGCTCTTCATCCTTATTAGCTATTGACCTTTCTGTCCCCTCTCTGAAGCTGCGTGATAGATACCCTGTCGCAGGCATCAGTTATACACGGGGCGGCACTTTCTATTTATCCCGGCTTAGAGCTATAATAACGTCCGATGGAGTGAGTGGGAGTCAGTCAGGAGTTACGCGGGAACATTGCACATTCTAAAAATCAATTTTTAAAACGTACTTAGTACTGTGTTGGGTGGAAGAGATGTGTATATGTCTGTGAGAGTTTGGCAATGTCATCACTAAATACGTCAGTATGTTTAATTTATGTAAGAAAATATGAAAAGAATTAAATTTTCTTACCTCTATTTGGGTGGAAACTTGGTATGAAAACTGGATTCTCAACATTCTAAGGCCACACCAAGGTAATATTATGGATGACGTCCTCTAGAGACCCTAGATCTAATGACAGAGCGCGAAAAAAAACAAGGAGGGCTGAAAAAAGCAAGATGCCTAGATTTGAAATATACTAAGAGACGACAAATGTTAGGACACAAATTGAATGAGAGAACACAGTGTAACAACCAAGAAGTCTTTTATTTGTCACCCTGCTCTGTTTCTTTCCCTTAATCACCTTTCTTCCCTTATCTTTCTTCCCTTATCCCACTGACACTGTCGTGACTCTCTGGTCATAGTTAAAGTAAGCGGAATTTCTTGAGTGTCTTTTCTGGGAACAGGCAAAAATCAATGCGCGCGGCCGGACGCTATCCATTAAAATTACTTTGTGTGGCCTAATTGTACTTCAGTCATATATGGCAACATGATATTAATGTCTGGAAAAGAATTAAACTCAATCAAAGTATTACATATCTATAAACTCAATTAAACTCAATTAAACTCAATCAAAGCATTACATATCTATAATAGCACTATCGCTCTATCCCTCCGAAAGTATGCAAACTGTATCCTTTCTTCATGGCACTACAGCTCAACAGTGTACCCTACCAGAACAACAACAACATGATGCCCAACGGAAATGAAGACAGATGTTCTTCCGGGTTAAATGGCATCCCAGGGACTCCTGGGATACCAGGCGCGCATGGCCAGCCGGGAAGGGACGGTAGTAAGGTACGTGTGATGATGTCATTCCATATTACCTATTGACTACAAATAAAATAGTGTATAAATGTAATTAAACCCCATGGCATGTCATCATATATGTAACATAACACAGTTTAATGTAAAGAAACAACGAAGTAAAGCGTAGAAATAACATACATGAATTCAAATGCATACAAGTATTTCAGCACCAAGGACAGGTATGTATGACTGTGTACATGGATTGTGTTTAGCACCAAGGGCACGTATGTATGCCTGTATATGGCTGTTGTTCAGCACCAAGGACAGGTATGGTTGACTGTATATGGCTATTGTTCAGCACCAAGGACAGGTATGGTTGACTGTATATGGATGTTGTTCAGCACCAAGGACAGGTATGGTTGACTGTATATGGCTGTTGTTCAGCACCAAGGACAGGTATGGTTGACTGTATATGGCTGTTGTTCAGCACCAAGGACAGGTATGTATGCCTGTATATGGCTGTTGTTCAGCACCATGGCCAAGGAAAGGTACTTTTGTTTGTTTGTATATGGATGGTGACAGTGACAGCGCCAATGACATGTACGATGTGTTTGTGTAGGTTATGTTCGTGTTATGAGAATGTTCTTGTATATCTATTCAAGCATATAAGTCAAAATTCAGCAGTGCTATGAAATAGCCAACAGTAATCAACTGCAACCGTCACCCACAGCGAACTACGCACCTACATCATGTGCGATGGAGGTTTTTCTGCACGTCTTTGAGAAGAAACTACTGCAATAGCTTAAAACAAGTACATGTGCCATGTGACTGGGGCTTAATATTACGTATATAGTAGAGGGGATCCATTCCTCAAGCTAACCGACATCTCGCACACGCAGTCGTCCCCCAGTAAGATACTTGGAGCCGCAAAGTTCTTGTCTAGAACTTTTATTCAGCCTCTGCACACTTGAAGAAGCCACAAAGGCGAAACTGGTCGTGTGACAGGCTGAATAAAAGTTCTAAACGGGAACTATGCGGCTCCAGGTGTCTTACTGAGGGACGACTGCGTGTGCAAGATGTTGGTTAGCTTGAGGAATGAATCCCCTCTACTATATATTGGGGCTTAATATTACGTTATATGACCAGGGTGAGATCGGCCCGCTGGGCCCGAAGGGAGACAAGGGAGACCGCGGCAGTCCCGGGAAGTGTTCCTGTACCAAAGCCTCCAGCATGAACTGGAAACAGTGCAGCTGGCCTAACCTCAACAACGGCGCAGACGTGGGAGCCATTCAAGTAAGATAAGAAGCCGGGGAAGGGAACTGGGGGTGGGGGGTGAGGGTGGTGTTACCGCTGCATACAGTGATATTCCGTAAATAGTTTCATCAGCTTAGTGAATGATTTTTCTTTCATTCAATTTCCACTTCATGACTAGACACTCAAGTTATTTTAACTTATTTTTTGCCACCACCAACGCGGAGGACTCATACAGGACAGGACAATTCTCATTTTTACTTGAGTCAACTGAGGAAAGCCGTGTTTTACCAAAAAAATCCCAAGGACACAAGATCGGTGGCATGTCAGGACTCGAACCAAGAACCTCTTGGTTCCGAGTCAAGCATTCGGCCGTTACACCACACTACCACCACACTTTATCCACGATCGACATACTTTACGTTTGGGACCGTACTGTTAGCAGTAAGACCGAGCTTAAGCTTCGGTGCACAGTGAACAAGTATCACGTGGCTTGCCCTGATGAAGGTGACAGACGGCCATCGAAACGTCGGCTCTTGCTAAACGTTTGTGAATAAGGAACTTTGCTATTCAAGATGGAGGTATTGCTTGGGTTGCGTTTTCGTATGTATGTATGTGTTTGCTTTTACAATTGGGTAACGGCACGTGGGTGGGGATTCCATAACCACAGACCACAAAACGTCAGACACAGGAAGTTTGGTCCCAGAATCTAATGGAGACCTAACAAATATGCCCCGTCCAAATCACGCGTTGAGGAGTTTTGCGAAACCACTGTCAATTTAATTAACATTTTTACGAAGAGTCATTCTTAGAAGAGCTTGATGAGTTTACTTTCTTCGTTCAAGTCTGTAAAAGAGGTCATTCTTCATGTACTTCTTTCTTAATCTGATAACACATTGATGTTTACATTGATTTCACGGTCTAACCATAATTTATTATCCACAATCATGAAATAATAACCATTGATTTCATCGAAGAACGGCCTGCCCTGATGATAATAACGATATCGATTGCTTGAAAAGGAGATTATAAATGCATAATCCAAAGTTTATTCATTTTGCATCTTTATCCCATCGCGACCATTCGTTTTCGCTGACAGGAATTGATCATTATGAGGATGGTATCTCAATGGATCAGTTGATCTGAAATTTCATTATAGCAGGAAAGAAGTTGAGGCCTTTGCCATAGCAATTTCGTTAATGATAAATAAAAGTCTTGATTTCAGTCATCTCCAGCAAGTAGAACTGTAATTTCTATTGATGCAAACGTGAAAATTAACTTAATTAATATTCATACACTATATTGCCGTCTTCAGTTTTTGTTGCGCCTCATATGTCCCATGCAAAGTAGATGTATCAACAGTTAATGGATGAATAAATGAATGGGTGAAGGTTTATTGTATATTTTTGTTTAACTGGTCTACGTACAGGTCAGATGTCGACATTCAACCATACATTTCAGAGAGCTAACACACTCTAATACTTTCAACTTCCAATCAACTATTAGAAATTGTATAGACGTAAGGATTATAGAATTTGAATAGCTATTATATAATATATAGTAAAATGTATTTCGTCTTCTGATTTACATAAATTACAAATTTGACAAATTGTTTGCTCAATGTGCATGCTATTTATTGTGACATCTACATGACGGCATTATTGACGATACGTTTGTTTATTTGTTTATTACGATTTTCCACAAAGTGAAAGGGAAGGCAAAACAGGTGTATACGCACCTTCACTGGTGGCCCTCCCCCATACAAAAAAACTCGACGACAAAATTTACATAGTCAAAGACAGCAATATGTAAAAGTACACAAAACAGACGATAAAAAGTAAGTTATATTTAGTAATAGACGATCACGAAGAAAAAAATCATGTTGAAACAGGATCTTAGTGAGGTATTGATGCATTGCAAGAACTTCACCCACAAGAATTGGTCCAAGTAAATGGGAGGTAAAGACTGTAGTGTGTGTTGAATCTGTTGTAAGTGACCTTGAGTAATTTGTGTACATTCTTACACCACCAGGGCTGTGATTTTGTTAAAAACAGTAACATGTCGTCCCTCCGTGTGTCCGTGTCGTCTAACTTCTACGTGGCCGGCGTGTCTGCCTGTAAGAGATGGTTCGTGACGTTTAACGGTGTGGAGTGTCGGGACCCCATCACAGTGGAGGGGGTTCTATGGGTGCCCAGCACGGAAACAAGAAGCCACAGGCTGGGACAGTTTGAAGGTAAAACAAGTCATTCTTCATTGTTGTTGGTTTTTCAATACAAAGGACAAGCATGGCGCGAAAAGGGTAAAACCCTGTAATAGGTTTGTAACAGCTTGATTGTATTGCCATTGTGTTGTTTGCTACTGTATATGGAAGTATTGTTTGGGTGGGATGTATTTGCGTGTGCGTGCGTCTTTCTCTCTCTCTCTCTCTCTCTCTCTCTCTCTCTCTCTGTGTGTGTGTTTGCCTGTGTCCGTAAGTATTTGAAAGACAGCAATGAGTGGTTGTGTCACCTCAGTACAGACAACAAAAGATCAGACACAGGAAATAGGTCTCAGAGCTGGCAGAAAGTTGGCAGTGGACAGGGTGACCGTAGGAAATATTATCAACTTAAAAAGAAATTTCCTTAAAAAGGAATAGCGAGCACTTGGCAAATGCCGACCATATCTTGCCATGTTTCTCTTCTTTAATTTCAGGAGTTTGCAACGATCTGAGGGCCGGAATCATAAGAGTGGACTTCAACATCGGCAACTGTCCTGACTTCGGAGATACCAACGGTTACACGGGATGGAACAGCGCCACCAGGCTGTTCATAGAGGAACTGCCCCCTCCTCAACAGTGATAGTTCCGCACACAAAAACTTGAATCAATCAATCAACTGCTGTCGTATACACTCATATATGCATCTATGCTAAATGTTATCATTATTCTACAGGGATGCTAGTGATGGGTTGATTGTATGTGATGTCATTTGTACAAGAGTTGCAACTTTTCTGTAAAAAGGAAAAGAAAGAAGAATGATTTGCTTGCAAATAAATGAGATCACTACCTCTCGGTATATCACAAAAAGGGCTTTTGAGGAACGCAGGAGGAAAGATCATTCATAATGGATGATGTTTTGAGACGCAGAAGACGATTTGATTGGTTATTTGAATGCATGGGGGAATCAGTTGACTGGGAAGTCAGTTGATTGGTTATCTGAATGCGCGGGAAGTCAGTTGATTGGTTATTTGAATGCGTAGAAGAATCAGTTGACTAGGAAGTCAGTTGATTGGTTATTTGAATGCGCGGGAAGTCAGTTGATTGGTTATTTGAATGCGTAGGGGAATCAGTTGACTGGGAAGTCAGTTGATTGGTTATTTGAAAGCGTGGGAAATCAGTTATGCAAATTTAGAGCTATAGTAGAGAAAACTCCATGTGACTGCACAATGTTTATATCATGTACGTGACACTATCATCTCAACTACATTGTACATCCACGTATACCTACTTCACATCATAGAATCACTCATATCTGTGCGAATTACCTGTTATTCTGCATCCTAGGCTGTGGTGGCACTTTGGCAACCTCTTGAAAGAAAAGAAAAGCAAAAAGTCAAATTTTCCAAAAGCCCCTTTGTACGTACAAGGTCTAGTCTTCCCTCTGATCTCGAGCAGATGCACACAGTGAGCGCCAGTGCAAGAACAATAAAGTGTTAGTCAGAAATCTTATAGTAAAAAATGGCGGTAATTGGCGTCCAAAACTTCTCCCACAATAAAAAGAATGAAAATTTTTCACATTTACATTTTTCTAAAAGCCACAGTTTTAGGGTGTGGGTATAACAGGGATTCGTGCAGAATTGTTTTATAGTCAACTACAAAAGACCACCAGTAATATAGTAAACAACGTTGTGCAATGTTCAAGGAAATGTGCATATATGCAATGTTACATCTTGTCATTTAACGTGGCATATTAGCTTTATCAGGTTTTTGTATTGCTGTCAATGGATTTAGCACGTATGGATATATTTTCACTGGTAGCTGGCATGTAGAAAAGTTACGCCGACCATAACGTATCATACGCAAAGGGAAATATGATTTGAGGTTAATTATATCCATTTTATCTCGCGCAGTATGTTATTAACACATTTGCGACATACGGACCATTTGCACTGGTACGGAGACAGCTATATGTTTTGCAATCCCTAGTGTTACCAAATGAGTCAAATGAC